GTTTAGCAGCTTGATACCGTCTTCCTGTTACGTTGCTTCACAGAGGGATACATCCCCCTCCTCTGTGCACAGGATTGGGTGATGCCTGCTGCTGCAGCCATCATGGGATTACTCTCCCATGTTAGAAGCAGGCAGACGCCACCACGGTGTCAGCACGGGCGTAACGTGCAAAGGTTGCAGCCAAATCCTGAAAAAAGACAATTCTCCATAAGAAACCGACCGAACGAAAGTGACAACGTCATGAATGCACGACAATCTAAACATGTTTTGACACATACAAATGTCGCGTATCCCAGAACTTCACACTTAACATCACATCCTCCACACGTAGTTTATACATATAGCTCTAATCCTAACCTTAATTTTTGTTTTAAATGTGTATTGCCGGTCATTTAATGATTCAGTGTAACAAATCAGTTCACACTGACAATTGAAGGATTAGAATCGCCACTGTTGCAGGGGTCGAAATAAGCGATGGTCCGATGGTCCGGGGCCATCAAATAATCAGGAGTACCATCAGATTTTCAAAGTCAATGGTCCGACGGACCACTGAATATTTTGGTCCCATTTTACGGTAATTTTCTTTGAAGTTTCCACGTTACAATATACTATTAAAGTGAATAAACAATTACTGTATCGTTTGATACATTCTTATGCTTGCACGCCGCATTACTTTAAGACCCATTTCAAATTTAGGAGAAACATCTAAAATTTAGGAGGACCATCTAAATTTCAAAATAGATGGTCCTGTGGACCATCTCTTTTTTTCTCCTTATTTCTACCCCTGCTGTTGTATGGAAGCTATCGTACATCATCATATCGATCATTCATTTAAATTTTGCACACTGCAATTACGTAAACACCAATTTTGAACATAAGCACATTGTGACCGTAAACTTTACAAGCCCCATTCAGTAAACCTGACAGACAAATGCTTTTAATTTGTTGAGCTCCATTTTAATCGTTACTTATGGACCAGTGAAGTGCAAAGCAATAAAACTGAACAAAACATTCAGACGATTTTGACACCATCATTATTCCATTTCATTTTCAACTGGAATCATAACGAGTTATAAAAGAGTGTTTGCTAACTACTTCAAACAAACCATATATCTTCCCACTAATTGCATTAAAACTTAATAGGTACAAACTTCATCTGCCACCAATCACACGAAAAATATAACCCAAATATCACTGACCTTACAGAAATCTATAACCAGCCTGGCAGCCAATGAAGGTGTTATAACTTATAGTTATAGTTGACCCGTAATACGTGTACATATTTACCTGGTAAAACTATTTTACTCTCGCGAGTACACCTACAATTACCTTTATCCTAATAATTATTATTTCCCCTATAGATTCAATTATAATCCAGTTTCATAATCGAACTGCATCCTATACTTGTGGGAAAGAGTGATCTCATAAATTTTATCATCATAACATTGACTAGACCAATAAATTGTGCTCTAAAAAATTTTATATTCTGATGTTATTTTAAGGCCCAATACCCTTCCATAGACAAAACCTGTGAATTTTGTCAACCTTTTCACTATTTACGACCGTGTTACATAGAAAATCAAAGAAATACTTAAAGCCGTCGCTTTATTAACATCTTACCTACATTACAAAACACTTGTCATGCAGTATTCTCCTCTTTAATCACGTTTATTTTATTAAAACATCACGACATAAAAATTTCGCAAACTTCGCTACAAACAAAACTCCCAATCTTGCACTGAACCGCACCGGACAGCGATGATTTCATTGGCCGGTGAGAAATGTCGTTGTGCGGTTCAATGCATGATTGGCAGCTTTGTTTGTAGCAAAGTTTGCGTGATTTTTATGTTGTGATGTTTTAATAAAATAAACGTGATTAAAGAGGAGAATACTGCATGACAAGTGTTTCGTAATGTAGGGTAGATGTTAATAAAGCGACAGCATTAGGTATTTCTTTGATATTCTATGTAACACGGCCTCAAATAGTGAAAAGGTTGTCGTGCATTTTGCACGACAAAATTCACAGGTTTTGTCTATGGAAGGGTATTGGGCCCTAAAATAACATCAGAATATAACAAATTTTAGGGCACAATTTATTGGTCTAAACATTGACATGCCTGCCATAGCATCACTAATCAAAGCACAAGCACTGGTCAAATACATTTATGTCCCTGGTAACACTCTAGCGATATTTTAATAGTTTTATAACCAAAATTGCTTTTTATGTACTTGAACTTTGAAGTAACGGAACCGAAAAATGTCGATATGGGAGTAAGCTCAGTAACAAAAACTAACATTTAAAAAAACACTTTTTATCTAGACAGTACAGCCACAATATACTTTTCCTTGGAAGTTTTAGAATTATCCGAATAAAATTATCGGCGACCCGCACAATAGCTATTTATAGGTGCAGGATCACCCAACTTTTTGCACTATATAGTATAGGGATAACTAGATACCCATAATGTAACCCAACAAGAGTAGGGTTACAAAGCATCCCTATCCTTTTGTGTGGAGGAACGCCTGAGTGAATCACTCATGCAGGTTTGCTGGTGCGTTTTCAGAGACTAGAACTTCCAAACTGGGTTTATTCGACTCAACACGAACCTTTCTCCGCTATCTTGGAACTTACTATATGCAAGGCTCGACACTAGCGGTGGCGCGGTGGCCCGGGGCCACCAAAACTTGATGTCGGGCCACCAAAATTTCCAAAAGTTAAAATTTAGTGGCCCGATCGGGCCACTAATATTTCAAAGTGTCTATGTGATAAAAATAATTGTTTCTTACGTGCTAATCTCATTCAAAAGAGAGCGAGCAATTCGCGGAGCGAGGGCACACGTACGCACGTGCAGCATTCTACCGCGGGCATACACGGGCGCACGGTTTATCCGTCTACTGCTACTGCGGCTGCAACAAGCCACGTTATTGTATTGGACTGGTATCTGGCCTCACGCTCTGCTAGACAATGTACACGCTCTGCGACGAACAGTTCGGCCGCGAACCAGTCTAGCCAGAGGTCAAAATCTGAGCGGG